CTTCACCAACATCATCCCCTTTGTTCTTGTAGTATATTATATATATATGTGTGTGTGTGTGTGTGATGTAGACCGTTCTTACATATTTATCCATTGCAGGAACAAAGGAGATGAATAAACCAAGCGACAAGGACAGATGGGGCAAAAACCCACGAGGAAATTATCCTTTTCAACTGTCACATGCATGCATGTATAATGTTATTTTTGTTAAAATGTATAATGAAATTATATACACACATATTAGGTATATGATCTGAGTCGAACGTGATGAAATCAAGCCACAGATCGAGAACCCACAAAAAGTCATATCTAAATTATATGTACAATACGCTTAAGATGCAATTAGTCATGCATGTATTATTTTTTTCTGAAATAATAAAAATTGTTAGTCTAGCTAGATATATTAAGTTTAATAAAAAAATTCACCAAAAAAAATAAACAAAAAAAGTTTAATAAAAAAAATGTCAACGTAGAAGGGACCTCAAGTGGTAAACAAAAAGAGGAACACAGAGAGAGAAACCACAGTGGTTTGGGTTCTGTCTTCCGAAAGCCGAAAAGCAATTCCCCCCCGCTATCAAACGTTCTGAAAACGCTGTCACCCGCAACCGCAACCGCTGCGGTACAACCAGTCGAACCCTATATCAACCCATGCATTTGCGTCATTTTCTTCTTTCTTTTTTCCAACTTTATACATCCTCCATCTCCAAATTTAACTACAAAATTAAATAAATAATAAATGACCTCGTTTATTATAGTTTTGTTATCAATATATAGTCATAATTAGGAAGAAATTCAAGAAAGTTTGTGTGCCTGTGTTGATGTTATTCTCAGGCTCTATAGAATTATGGTATGTTTATTATATATACGATATATATATATTTTTTTAATTTCCTGTCAACTAAAAGAGTGACAATTTCACTTTCCCGGAGAATCTTGAATCCACGTTTGGCCGTCTCTAAGTTTTTCCCGTCAATTTTCACCCGACAAGATTTATAATATATATGCATATATATGCGTACATATTCATAAGGATATATGTAATATATAGGCAATCGGTTTTTAGTGGTATTCGGGGAGTTGTTCCTTATTCGTATCATCTGCACCTATGAACACTCTCAACCTTCATCATAGTTCGGGATATCGCAGGTCCACCAATTTCTACCTGGTTTATCTTTGAACCATAACATACTGAGAGAGTATCGCCTTTGATACCATTTGTAACGACACACGAGCTACGAAATATCGAAATTGTCCTCACATACCAACACGAGACCTTCCAACGTGCTTTTTCCTAACTCGCACGCATAGCGAGATACGTTCGAGTATGCCACTCATCTTTTAATTGTTCCAGAATCAACATGCTTAATTTTGAAGTTTTTTCGGGATAGTCAACCGAAAAGGTATGTACACTTTGTTACTATGAATAGCTAACTAATTTTTTTATGTTATCTTAGATCGTATAGTCCTATACCTATACAGTCATCGGATCTCTTTCATTCCGGTGTATTTGATTCATTCCTGTATCTTTCTGCCCTTAGTGGAAGTCAGGGAGCCGCTCCTTGTCTATGTGATCCGCACTGACGAACTCTTCCAACTTTCATCATAGTAAGCAATATCACACAAAGAAAGAAAATATAACCTTTCAGCTGGTTATACTCATATTCATCCTTTATAGATTCTTCATGTATCAAAATCGTATTCTACTTTCAAAATCAATTAAACGATGATAATGATCTAATTATATGGTTGGGATACATTTAAAATAATGTTAAATACAAATTATAGATGAGAAATATACTATTTGCCATATCTAATAAGTAGGAGACTGAAAGAAGTTAAAAGCTAATGCTTAACCAATTCATTGATATCTGAAAAACATTTTCAATTTGATATTTTAATCAATTAAACAATAGCATTGTGTGTGTATGCAAAAATTAATGTCGTCCGTTACCAAAAAAAAATAAAATAATGTCGTCGTAATAGGATTTTCAGTGAAAGGTAGAATGTTCGAGACTTGGCCCCCGCAGAAGTATAATGGACCATAGAGTCCACGTGACCTCGACGCCTTGAGTTGCAGCATTACATGTATCCAAAAATACTATAAGCTAATCTTACTTTTATTTTTTTATTTTTTTAAAGGAATATAAAGAAAAAACCCTAGAAAGGTGCGGTCCTCTACCTATCATGGCTCTTCCTTTAAAAAAAAAATTGAGATTGCATAATTTTATTTTTTGTTGAGATTCTTCTATACACAAAAGTTTTTTTTTTTTTTTTTTACTTTTTCTTGTTGTTATGAGTATTGTATTGAGATAGAATCGATCTTCGCTTGATAGATGTTTGAGTGAAAATGTTCACGCATGCATGTACGATATATAGACTCATATTCAAAGCAAAAATTTAATTTAATTTAGATATTTATATTGATTAAATAAAATATTATATGATTCTATTTTCTACTCAAATATTATAATATTTTATATTGAATATTTAGAAATCTAATGATTCTTCACCATTTTCTCTATCATGTTATCTGATTCTATACAACTAAATGTCGTGTTGATCTCTTTTAAATCCAACTTTTAGCCTCTTCACTGCAAAACTATGGGGGCGACTGGTTGCACCGCCGCCACCCGCAAACGGAGCGGTTGCGATTTCCGACAGTTGCGGACGATTAAAAAACTGACTGGTTGAACCGCAACCAACCGCAACCGCAACCAAACTTGTGTTTTCTAATCGCAACTTCCAACTTGCGTTTTGGTAGCGGTTTCCGGCGTTTTGACAAAAAAACTAAAATATTTTTATTAGAAATTATATAAAACATTAATATATATATTGGTGATGATTTTGTTTAGTGTTATGATTTGATATTATTTTTTAGTATTATATTTTAATAAAAAAAATACAATAGTATAATTTTTAAGTTTAATAATGATTATTTTTAATAATTTTTATAATAAAATTATTTTTTTACTCAAAATAAATTAAATTGATAATATTTCTATTTTAAATTTATTATTTAATTATTATAAATTTAGTAAATAATTTTTATCAAATGATACGAAAACTTCAATTAAAACTATTATAAAAAATTATTTTTAAATAATATTTTTTTTGACAATTTATATCAAAACGCAACCGCAACCGTAATGAACCATTCACTTCTAACTGCACCCACCCGCAATCGCTACCAACAGCAACTTCTCAACCAGTCAGTACTAATCATTTATAATCGCTATCAAACGTTCTGAAAACGCTGTCACCCGCAACCGCAACCGCTGCGGTACAACCAGTCGAACCCTATATCAACCCATGCATTTGCGTCATTTTCTTCTTTCTTTTTTCCAACTTTAGCCGTTTTGCATCATTTTTCTCCCTTTTTTTGGTCTAGCCACTAAACCACCGCGTCTTTCTGCGCCATCAACATTACTATTATGCTATCTGATTTCATTACACCACTGTGCATCTGCACTGCACATTTGCGTTACACCGGCATTTTAAAATCTAACTATTAGTTTTAGAATTCAAACTCAAACGGTTGTTTCTAATCTTTTTGAATTTGACGGAGCGTATCAAAAAAATATGAAGAATATTATATAAGATCGACATAAGAAGATTTGAGAAAATTATAATAATATTATGTAATATTTATATTTGATATTATTTCTATATTTTAGATATTTATATTGATTAAATAAGAAATTGTGTGATTCTATTTATTATCTATAAATATTGTAATGATTTATGTTAAATAATGAGAAATCTAATGATTCTCCATTATTTTCTTTTTTTCTATTAAAGAATATGAGAGATCGATGTGTATAAAAGTGATAATAAAATATCAAGAGATTTTGATAGCGGTTTGGTAAATTTAGTTTGTCATTTCAGATCGGTTAACAATATTTAATAAACGGTGAATTTCTGGATTATCAAAAAACAATTTTTAATAAATATAAAAACAGACATGCAAACGTTAACGCCATTTAAGCAAAAACCAATGCAAATAATGGCACTTGTGTATAACTATAATATTAATTGCTTTTGGGCAAAATACTATAATTGCATCTGTATTTTATATTTCATATAAAGCATTTTATATCATTCGGGATAATTAAAAATTTACAGTCCAGAATTAGTATCTATTATATTGTGTGAGTTTACATGCTGTCATATATATATATATATACACACATATATATATATATATATATATGAGAATTTATCTGATGCCTATCCGAAAAAATAAAGATCTGCCTTTTTCATGGTTTAAAAACATTATTATATTTTTGGGATCGGATGTTACCTAACCCACATCAACTTGAGCTAATATAAACTATCAGATTCCTTGCCGTTTGTGCACTTTATATACGAATGATTAAATCTGATAGCTATAATCTAAAATTTTTGTTATATCATACCAAAGATTCTTCATTTAAAAATTTAAAAACAACAAATTAGTGATTGGTTAAAATAATATGGGAAAAGAAAAGAGATTCTTATCCTAAGAAAACCAATCCCGTGTTTGCGGGCCCCCACAATATCTATATTCTTTTCCCGCTAATTCTCATATTCGTGGTGAATATCTAAAAGTAAATTCAATATTACAGAAACAATTTCCAAATTAGATGATTTATGAAACATCGAAAGAAATATATTATGAATATATGTATATACTGATATACACTATGGTTAAACCATCTATGAATCATAAGATGATTCTGATATATATATATCTGAATTTTTAGATTGTATTTTTTATTTCTGAATATAAATTTAATTTTTAAGTAAGAGATATATTCTCTTTCTGGAAATAGAAAGAATAAATAATATTGGTGGAAGATTGTCTGTAAGATTCTTACTTTAGGAAAATTCAAGAATTTCGTAATTTCTGCATAACATATATTTATTTATTTATTTATTTATTTGTCACAATCGACTTTTACCAACACTTATATATACCCCTCGTCACCGTCTCCCTCTCCTCCAAACAAACTCATCACAGTTAAACAGAGAAAACAAATTCAAAAACCCTACAAAACCCTAACGCATCATCATCATCGCCATCATCACAATGTCTGGTGTGTGGGTGTTCAAGAACGGGGTGATGAGGTTGGTAGAGAACCCTTACAACCAATCCGGCGCCGGAGAGTCGACGGAATCTTCCGGCGGCCAGCAGCAGAGAATGAGGAAGAAGATTCTTTTTCATCTCCCGACCGGCGAGGTTGTTTCCTCGTACGGTTCTCTTGAGAGAATCTTGGTGAGTTTGGGATGGGAACGTTACTATGGCGGCGAAAACTCCGATCTCATTCAATTCCACAAGAAATCATCGATCGATCTCATTTCTCTGCCCCGTGATTTCCTCAAGTTCAACTCCATCCACATGTACGACATCGTCGTCAAGAACCCTAACATCTTCCATGTCCGAGACATGTAATGATCAAAACCAAACTGGTTCGACCTAATCGTCTCGCTCACTTACTTATATTCATGTGTGTATATATGTATACATGTATCTGTATATGTGTATCATATCCTATGTAGTTTGTGTCGGAGGAGTTTTTATCGGAACTGTACTCGCATGCACGTTTCCGTACGAAGCCGTGAAGAACATCTTATATATAGAGAGTCGAGAATTTCTTATTTATGTTTAATTAATTCTCTCTTTTTTTTTTCTTTGTGGTCTTTTGATCTTCCGTGGTGTTTTTTGTTTCTTTTTCCAGTATCGTGTCGGTTTGTAATTTATAATATATAATATTATATATGTCAGCTGTGTTTAATCTGCTGGTTCGGGATATTGTCTAGGACTTAATGAAATTGCAGCGGTTTGTGATATAACATATGATTTGATTCCTAAATTCTTGTTCATATCCTCTTGGTCAAGCTTCTCTCTATAACATTCTATATATCTTACCGATACCAGAATTGTGTTAGTGAAATTACACATAGTAGTTTGTAATACATATATATATATATATATATATATTATTTCGAACTATAACCTGAATGTATGCATATATAAGACCCCAAAGATATGAAATACGCTATAGTGTAGAATGTGGCATTTCTACTAAACCGTATGAATTTAAAATAAAAGCTAAGATAAGTTATTGCATTAAACTAGCAGACATTAGTTCTGAAAAAATAAAATAAAAATTAAAACCATATGAAATTTGAAATTGAACGGTAGGTAGTATCATATTATTTGTATTTAATTAGGAAAATAATGTGTAAATTATCTGGATATAAATGTGTACGGTGTGGTCGGAGAGTTGGGAGGAAAGATGAAGACAAAATCTAAAGTTCGGAGTCCAAAATTAGAGTTTTGTGTGTCAAATCAGATAAGGGTCCCAAAGGTTGGGGAGATGAAATCATTGAAATGACAAAAGGAAGGGGAAACGTTGCGGCGCACGTGACTTTCAGATGTGCCGAAAATGGGACACCACGTGTCGATTCCCTGCATCCCACGTGGCAGTTCCCCACTTGCTATCTCTTTCGAACCGATCAATTCAGTTTGTCCTCACGACGATAAATTCGAATATTAACTTTTTTTGAATAATTTTTTTTTAATTCGAAAAATTTACGGATTTTTTTATTCAATTAAAATTTTAAATTTGGGAAAAAAAATTGCACCATCCTTCAACTCGTAGTCAAACTCGGTCAAAGATATTAGAAGAGAGGAAAAAACGATATTTTGAAAAGGAACGATTCAAATTTACAGGTAATGTGGAGACTCGAAACTCAATCTAACACGGAAAATTTCCAACAGTATGATGGATATTAACGCAACTTGGAAAAAGCTCAAAGAGAAATGTAGAAAAACTTTGGAGAAGATGAAGAACGTAGTGTTTTTCGAAAAAGGTTTTCTATCTCTCCTTAAAACGTCTGGGGAATCTATTTATAGTGTACAACTAAGGACTAATGAATAAATAAATAAGGACTAAAACGTAAATAATAAAGATACAGAGGATTAAGAAATTAAGGAATAACAGACTCTGCTACATTGTCGGATAACCTCCTTACGGCTTATAATACGTTTGTGTATGCAGGTCTCTATCCAGTGCAGTCTTTTTCAACCGTTTGCTTTTGATACCCATATCATAAAACTCCCCCTCAAGATGGAGAGTACAAATTGTATATTCCCATCTTGAGAAGCAAACGATGGAACTGATCAATATACAGAGGTTTGGTCAGAAGGTCTGCGATTTGATCCGAAAATGAAACATGAGATAGTTGCAGAAATCCTGACTTGATCTTATCCCTCACGAAGTGACAGTCCATTTCTATATGCTTGGTTCGCTCATGATAAACCGGATTAGAGGCAATGTGGATTGTTGATTTGCTGTCACAAAATAGAGTGATGGGTTGAGGGGTGTAGACCTGAATATCCTTGAGTAGGGATGAAATCCAGAGAAGCTCGCAGGTCGTTTGTGCCAAGGCTCGGTATTCAGACTCGGCGCTGCTCCGGGAGACAGTGCTCTGTTTCTTGGACTTCCATGATGTTGGTTTAGTGCTCTATGTTGTACTGTTTGTGAAGTTTCTTTGGATACATTTGATGTATTGATACTTTCTATAGTTTTATGAAAGTGTTTGATTCATTACATGTTGTGCATACTAGATATGTTGTGAAATCCATGTATTATTATCAACAATACTAAACTCCCTAGTCATGTATCATTGTGGAAATAATGATATACTAAGACTAGTATGATGTGTGATTGATGATCATATAGATGATTATAGGTATTGGATACGATCACAGTCATAGGTATTCGTTGGAGAACGGAATACTGGATTGACCCGCATGAGATTGTCACATGGACTAGCGTCATGACTTGAATCTCATATGGCGGTTCCATGATTGGATCCTTAGACCTGAGATATCTACGGAATCCAACATGAGGAGTTGCGTGCTTTGAATACGTCAAACGTCCTGCGTAACAGGAGGACTATAAAGGCGTGTATCAGGCACGAAACGAATCATATGCTGGATTGTAGATAGTCAAGACGGGATTTGTACCTCTCGTAAAAGAGACAGATATCGCTGGGTCCCTCGTGTGAGTGAGACTGTAGAAATGTGTGGCCGCACTATAGACGAGCGTCGTCTATTTCAGACAGTCGAACTCAATGAACGAGAAAGTAGTCGAATTAGATAAGGTGGCTTGTCCATGCCTTATGTTCGACATATGATATCGTGATACAAAAGGATCATCAGCCGGAATCATCACTGGCGTTCGTAAGATCACGAACAAACTCTATTCGAGATAGGTAGTCATAGTGTCTTGCTAGAGACCCCTATGATTTGTATATCCGAAATAGAGATTTCGGGTTATACTGCTATATCGAATGAGCCTACAGGGTCACACACGCAGGGAAGGACAAAACGCAGAGAAAACGACGGAAAAACCGAGACGGAAGGGGCTAGAACGGACGAACCGAAAGAGCCAGTCCTGACGGTCCACCAGGTCCAGACCCGACGGTCCGCAGAAGGCAGACCGTCCGTTCTGGCTTTTCTGGAACGGACGGTCCACATGGACCGTCCGTTCCGGCATTCGGGTTTTCAAAAATTAGACCGAATTAGGGTTAAATCACCTTATAAGAAGGAAATTAAAACCCTAATTAAAGAGGAGACTTTTTGAGCCGTATGGTACAGAACTTTGAAGTTTTTTGGGTGAGATCCAAAGAGTTATAAGAGTTCCAAGTCTCGTTTTCTCGAAGCGCAAAACCGAATAGCTGATTCGGATCCTAGCAGACAAGTTCCAACCGTTGGAATCCATCTCGAGGTGTGGATATGTGTAGAGGGCGAGGTATTCTTCCTCCCTTTCGTGATCAGACGAGTTCTTCAATTGATACAGACACCGGATCGATTGAGGTAAGCGTTCTAACGTTTCTACGATTCATAGAAGCATGGTTCTAGGGTTTCATTCAAATTTTTGTTTTATATCAGCTGCGCAAACTCTAGAATCGATCTCTTAGGAATAGAATTCGCTCTAGAGATCCCAAGAATCCCATCAGATGATACGAGGGAGCTACCGAGGAAAATGCAATATCCAGTTACAGACTTTCGAGAGTCAGGACATGCCCCCCAATCGGCGTCAGAATATGCTGTTAAGGATAAATCAGATTGCGAGGAGTAGTATAAGTCTTGGCCTGAAGCATTCTTGAGATACTTAAGTACCCTCAATGCTGCGTTAAAATGTGTATCTCGGGGCTTAGTCATGTATTGGCTAAGTTTCGTAACAGGAAAACTGATGTCGGGGCGAGTTACGGATAAGTATATCAGTTTGCCAATCAATTTTCTGTAAGATGCCGGATCTGCCAGCAATTCCCCTGTATCCTGCAAGAGTTTCAGCTTTGCTTCCATGGGTGAAGCTATACGTTTGCAACCAAGGAGACCGAATTCTTCTAACATCTCAAGCGTGTATTTGCGTTGGCATATTTGAATGCCTTTCCGGGATCGTGCCACTTCAATTCTCAGGAAGTACTTCATCTCTCCCAAGTCTTTTATCTGGAATTCAGCCTGTAGAACTGTCTTGAGCTCAGAAAACAGAGTAACATCGTTCCCAGTAACAAGTATGTCATCAAGTAGATCAGAATGATAACAATGGAAGTGCCCCTGCACTTTACAAACATCGAATGATCAAATTGACACTGAGAATAAGCAGCATTCAGAAGTACCATTGTTAATTTCTAGTTCCACTATCGAGAGGCCTGTTTTAGGCCATAGAGAGATTTGCGAAGTTTGCAGACTGAGTTCGAGGGAAAGGTCTCCCCCTGAAGCTGAGCATATCCGGGGGGGAAGAGACATGTATATTTCCTCCGATAGATCGCCGTTAAGAAACGCATTGGAGACATCAATGTGATGCAGAATCAAATTCTTCGTTGCTGCTAAGGCGATCAAGATACGGACAGAGGACAGTTTAGCAACAGGGGTAAACGTATCAAAATAGTCTATATCGGGCAGTTGTGAATATCCCTTTGCCACAAGCCTAGCTTTGTGGCGTTCAACTGAACCATCTGGGTTGTACTTTACTTTGAAGAGCCATTTACAACCAACAACATGCTTCCCTTCCGGCAAGGAACATACAGTCCATGTTTGGGTTCGATTTAACGCATCAAGCTCCAGTTTCATTGTAGCTCACCAGCACTCATGTTTGGCTGCTTGGGTATAAGATGTGGGTTCAGTTTCGGTGCTGATAGAGAGAGTAAAAGTCTGGTAGTATGGTTGAAGCCTTGAAGGTGTGAATAAGAAAGAAAATTGGTTAAAGAGTGAGGATTAGATGTGTTGTTTGGTGGGGGTCGTTGGTGCTGTAAATGATAGCAATGGTAGTCGGATAGGTAAGTTGGAGGTCTAGTGAGTCGTTGTGGTCGAAGTGTTCATCTGACATAGGGGAAAGAGGG